TGGAATTATACTGGTTGTTTGATTTGCTTTCTTCCTCAGAACTTTTGCATTCCTAACTTGTTTTAATGTATTACCCCTATCATACATCTGACAGAAATGTAGCAGTACATCACTATGGGTTCACTTTCACTGCTTCTTTGTCATTTCATTTTGACTCTTCTTCAAATTCTGGCCATAGGGAGATGTGGCAAGATAAATAGGGTGTGTGTGGGGGGGAGGGGAGGACAGCCTTCTGTTTCTGGCCAACCTGATAAAAATGGCAAACTGACAGGCAGTTTGCAAGGCAGAGAAATGTTAGCTGAAGTAGAAAAAAATTCTCTGGTGTCTGTAGGAGAATTACTGCTCCACTAATATTTTTCCACAGCATCCTGGCAGGTGCTGAGAGCTTGAACCCTCCTACTATCCAAACTAAAATGATCATGGAGGAAATCACTAGTGTCTGAAAGGGAGGGTTTGTGTCTACAGCAGCCAATAGAGGCCAATGGGAACCAAGTAGAACCCAGCTGCTGTTGTTACTGAAAGGCCATCAATTATGCATACAGCAATTCTTGTCTCAAAAGATTGGAAAGCACCAAATTTATATATCTGTTAATTTTTTTTAAAATTTGATTTATATGCCGCCCTTCTCCAGAGACTCAGGGCGGCTTACAATGTGCTCAGCAATAGCCTTCATGCTTTTGTATATTTATACAAAGTCAGCTTATTGCCCCCACAACTGGGTCCTCAATTTTACCTACCTTAGAAAGGATGGAAGGCTGAGTCAACCTTGAGCCTTGGCGAGATTCGAACCTGCAGTAATTGTAGACAGCTGGTCTTAATAACCAGCTTAATAACAGGGTGCCTTAGACCACTGTACTACCAAGGCTCTTAAATATGTTAGATATCCTGAGCTATGGATGAGTTGAAGACATGTCATGAGGACATGTCCTTAAAAGATGATTAGCAAGGCATCTTCAAGCCAAAGTTAAAAAGCTACATGGATAATCCATTAGCTGTTGACATAGGCTCAAGCTTCATTTATTACAGTTATTCTTTAAGAATCCAGAGAGAGAAAGAAACAAACAAAACAGGCTGCTTAAATTTTGGCTCAGCTGATTTCTGCATCTTTGAGATGGTAATATGGCATCATATTCTTGCTAGAAAGTGTGATTACTTAATCATTTGAATTCAAAAGAATATATGAAATGTACCGCCCTCGCCTCCAAAGTAATATGATGACATACCATTACAATGACCAGTGTGACCAATTACTTTGCATTCCTGCTGAGTATATTCTATTTTTTAAAAAAATTTGATTTATATGCCGCCCTTCTCCGGAGACTCAGGGCAGCTTACAATGCGTTAAGCAATAGCCTTCATACTTTTGTATATTTATACAAAGTCAGCTTATTGCCCCCACAAACTGGGTCCTCAATTTACCTACCTTAGAAAGGATGGAAGGCTGAGTCAACCTTGAGCCTGGTGAGATTCGAACTTACAGTAACTGCAGGCAGCTGGTGTTAATCACAATGCTATCAGTCTGCTGAGCCACCACCCTATTTAATTATTCTTCCTTCCTTCCTTCCTTCCTTCCTTCCTTCCTTCCTTCCTTCCTTCCTTCCTTCCTTCCTTCCTCTCTCTCTCTCTCTCTCTCTCTCCCCCTCCCTCTCCCTCTCTTTTGCTGTGATAATATTTTTACACAAGTCATAGATTATGGACTAATATGAGCATCAGGAGGAGGGAATACATTGTTAAACAGTTTATTTCCAATAATGACTTCTTCCTCTGAAGATTTTTTAAAAACCCTTATTTTTAACTGCCCTCGCTATATATTCAGACAATTAATCTTTTCATGGCTTCCTTTTGACAGTGTTTTTGCTTCTCTGGAAATATTGATGAATATTGACCTTTGTAATATAGTCTCCTCTGTGCATATTTTAAGACCTAAGGAAAGTAAGACTTAAGCTGAAGTTCTTGTTTTTCAGTTGTAAACTGTCCCTTCTGACAGATACAAAAAGAATTTTGTAGAGGGTAAGAAAGGCTTCAGGTATTCTATCAGTGAAATCACTAAGACTCATTCTTAGTTTCAGCAAGAAGTAGAATAAGAGCTGCTGGGCTTTTGAAGAAGTAAATATTTATGTCTTTAAAATATAGCAAAATCTATTTCCTAGTCAGCATTTTTTGATAGTTTGCTATGAAAAGACTCAAAGCAACTCTGTTATGGGTGTGAACTTGTTCTCTGGCAAACGTCCTGCTTTTGGCGGGACAGTCCTGATTTTTAACAATTTGTCCCGCGTCTGCGGCGTTTTAAAAAAGTGCCGATTTTTGAAAAGAATGCACGACAAGGCGGGAGAATGGGAAGGGAATATATGGTTGTCGGCGGCCACGTGGCTATTTAGCCAGGATATGAGTTTTATATTATTTTTGTTAATTTTATAATGTTAAACTTTAATAATAATAATAATATATATATATATATATATATATATATATATATATATATATATATATAATGCACATAAAAGAATATATAAAGAATATGCACATAAAAGCCTATGAAAAAGAAAAAAAAAACATTGTACCTTTACAGGGGGGATACTTGAGAAGAGGGTATGGCTCACTGATGACGCCTTACAAGGCAGAAATAGCTATCTGAGTCTCCCAAGGAGCAGCAAAGAGTTGCTGTTTGTCAGCAAGATACAAAAAGCCCAGAAACTTGGGTAGAAGCGACGTTTCGGCAGAATCCCATCTGCCATCATCAGGCTTATGTCAGCAGTCATTTTGCACTAACAATAATATATATACATATATATATATTATATGTATGTATGTATGTATGTATGTATGTGTGTGTATGTATGTATATATATATATATATATAGGTCTTTGGTTATTCGGGTCTTCTCCCACGTAAAATTTATGTAAGTTTTCGCGGGTATGTATGTGTGTATAGTTAATATTTCGAGTTTCTTCCCGTGTAATTGTGGATATATCCCTAAAAGGGTAGAAGCGACGTTTCGGCAGAATCCCATCTGCCATCATCAGGCTTATGTCAGCAGTCATTTTGCACTAACAATAATATATATACATATATATATATTTATATATATATGTATGTATGTATGTATGTATGTATGTATGTATGTGTATGTATGTATATATATATATATAGGTCTTTGGTTATTCGGGTCTTCTCCCACGTAAAATTGGAAGTGTCTTGGCAACGTTTCGATGAAGTCTCATTCGTCATCTTCAGGCTGGTGTTCTCGGCTTCGTGCTTCCAGGAGCAATGTGAGATCGCAGCTGGCTCGCACGGCCACAAACACGAAGCCAAACAACAACAACGCAGCTCACCAGCTCAAATCCCCCTGCAACTCAGACTAAGCTGAGCACAACCAAGCCCCCACCCAAACAGAACACAACCCCAGCCAATCAGAGCACAGCCAAGCCCCTAACCAATCAGAACACACTTCCACCCAATCAGAACACAGCCAAGTTCCCACCCAATCAGCTCACACCTCCACTAGCAGTTAAAAGGAAGAGACAGCTGCGATCTCACATTGCTCCTGGAAGCACGAAGCCGAGAACACCAGCCTGAAGATGACGAATGAGACTTCGTCGAAACGTCGCCAAGACACTTCCAATTTTACGTGGGAGAAGACCCGAATAACCAAAGACCTACATAAATATATATATATATATATATATATATATATATATATATATATATATAAATATATAAATATAAAAAAAAAAAAATAAAAAAAAAAAAAAAAAAAACCCCCCCCCCCCCAGTCAATGGTGTCCTGCTTTACCAATGTTAAAATCTGGTCACCTGATTCTTTGCTCAAATCTTACTATAAGCAGTAACCAACAGAAATGAAACATTCATCTGGACATTATTCATTGTCCTTATACAGTATAATTAGGCTCTATGTTAAAGCATAGGGACTGATGATTCACCAAGAGCAGGGGAAAGATAGCAGTGCTCTTCAACGCTATGAACAAAATAATTGTTTCATTCTGAGTTCTAAATGGGATTTAATATTTTTGAAATGGTAAAGTGAACATTTCTTTCATTTAAGTAAGGGAACAGGAATGTCAGGATGGAATTCATAGAACAATCACTTTATTTTTAAGTGAAATAGGAAATAAAGTACCTATGGCCACTGCCTCTAATCTCTGTCCTGATTCTCTTTGCCCTTTTTCTCTACATGTCTTCACCCTTGTACAGATGAAGGAGGACTGAGAAATGTCTAATCCATGATATTTTATTGAATTTTTTCTTAAGTACTTTATGGTCAAAAAGCATAATCCAGATATCAAATATTGGGGTTCAAGCTCCAGTGGAAAATGCATGGTCAAGATGAAGTCCAGAGTTCAAACCAGGGAGACAAAATAAATGTTCAGCAGCAATTTAAAGAAATATACACTCTTATCTAAGCATAAGCTCCATCAATATATAACAGATGTTTTGACCTGGGTTTCTTCATTTGTTAGCAGAGGATTAAACATAGATTTTAAATCCCATGTCAGGGAACAAAAAATAAACAAAAGTATAGATGGTTCTATTACACTTTTTAATATAAAAAAGATGTTTTACCAATTTAAGGAATAGTTATTTTTACCACATGAAGAGGCATCACTTTTGAAAGCACCTGATCGCCTTGTCTGGGCTCAGAAAACTAAAGAAGTTCAGGCTAATTTAGAATTTGATCGGAGATCTCCAGAGAATACCAGGACTGTATGTAACACTGAACAATTGAAAAGCATTTAAAAAAATGCAGTAGCAAACTATTTTTTATAAAGTAGTTGCCAAGAAAACTTCATGGAACTATCCATAAAGTCGCCAGGAATCAAGTTTGGCATGAAAAGGACTTCACAGCTTGATGCTCAGGGACTGCACGTCAAAATATTATGCAGCCTGTAGACTTCCAAAATGTGTTACCAAATTTTAATTGTAATGTGATGAAAGAATAAATTATTAAATATATTACAGAAGAGTAAATATCTTAGCCAGACAAATTTCATTGCAATTTTATTGTACTATGAACATTTTCCTTCATTCTTCTGTGTTCTTAGATAACTTTTGCTCTTGAATAACTGGTTCTGATAATAGTTTGATTTCACAAGTTGTTGCTTACTGTAACCCATTATTATCAAACATGTATTTATATTTCATTCTGCATCCCAACTAGAGATAGCCAAATCTATTTTCAGTCCATGCCATTTTTGCATAATTTAATCTGAAGCAAAAGTTTTCCAAATCAATTTTATATTGCATCTTCATCAACTGTATTTTTCCTGAAGTACTGACTTTTTCTTCTAACTGCCATCTGAAAGAAACATGAAACATCAAGACCCAGCTGCATTTGTGTGTTAAATACTATACTGTACATAAGAAAAGTTGCCTGATTACCATTGATGGGAACTAGCTCTACATAGAAGGAACTCCATGTGAATATTTTTGGTGCTTATCTTAGCTTTTCCCATTTCCCAATCAGGCTGCTTAAACACAACTCTCTGTCTTGTTTAATATAGCATAAATCTATTCCACACCATAATTGCTTCTGTAATGCAATTCAGTCTATCAGTAGAATCTATATTTCTTGGGGAACCCCAATCCTACTGAGGGGAATTGGTTCTAAGATGTACTTGAATCAACCACTGACAAATTATATGACTTGATTTCTTCATGTCATATATCAATATTATGAAGATGAACAGGAGGAAGACATACTGCCAATTAAGCTTTCAGTCACTCTAAAATGTTTTACTGTCCTTTCTATTTTCATTTAAGTTGGCCTTGGATGTGCTTTTACTATTCACTATTTTTTTCATTGCACATTGGATTTAAGGATGTCAGCAGATATCAGATGTCAGAAATATATCTGCAGTATGTGTTATTTTCCATCTGTGATGGAACACAGAGACATTATAGAGTTGGGTATCAGGGAAGAAAAGAAGAAAGGAGAAAGAAGAAAGGGAAAATGTTATTTCCAACATGTTAGAGGAATATTAAAATTATATATGTTTTTATAATTTTCTTTATTTGCATTGTCCAAATGATTTAAAGTTTACCAGTATAAATAATGTATTAAAAACATACCAAAATGCTTAAGGAAAACATGCTGTAGTAAAACAAAATGCTGTAAAAACAAAAGTGCTTGTGCTAAACTTCTACCAAATAATTTAAAATAAGGAATCATTGCTTTTTGTTCTGCCTGCAAGTACTTCAAATTTTCTTATCTCCATCTCATTTTATTGCTGACTGATCTTTTGTACAAAATAATATCATCAACAATAATAACAAAATATTGACCATATGGAGATATGAACTGATAATGTAAGAGCATAATAATTTTCCTTTCTCTTCATGGTAGTAGCCTTTGTTGCTGTTGTTCCCAGACAATTTCTGTAATTTCTGATACCGGAGGCTGCAACATAACCATTTTGCTTAGAAACCATTGAAAGTTTTATACAACTTACTTCATCATTAAAGCTGCTAGGGCCAGATCAATACTATTCTAGTGGACAATCACTTAAATATGAGCCAGCTCTGTGCTGCATCTTCCAAAAAAGCCAACACAGCCCTAGGCTGCATTAACAGGGATAGAATCAAGATCACTTTAAGTGTTAATACCACTCTATAATGCCTTGGCAATACCACACTTAGAATACTGCATCTATTTTAGTCGCCATGATGTAAAAAAGATATTGAGACTTTAGAAAAAATAGAAGAGCAACAAGGATTATTAGGGGACTGAAGGCTAAAATATATAAAGAACGGTTGCTGGAATTGGATTTAATCAAAAGAAGGACTAGGTTAATAATAGTGTTCCAATATTTAAGGGAGTTGCCATAAAGAAGAGGGAATCAACATATTCTCCAAAGCATCTGAAGGCAGGACAAGAAGCAATGGATGGAAATGAATCAAGGAGAGAAGCAACCTAGAACTAAGAAGTTTCCTGACAGAACAATTAATCAGTGGAATGACTTGCCTCGAGAAGTTGTGGGTGCTCCAAAAATTTTTAAGAAGAGATTGGACAACTATTTGCCTGAAATGTTATAAGGTTTCCTGCCTGAGGAGGGAGTTGGACTAGAAGACCTTCAAGATCCTTTCCAACTCTGTTCTGTTCTGTTATTCTGTTCTGTTTCTTTCCCATTTCAGAGCTGGCAAGAAATTATGGTGTCTGGGTGTGGAGATTTAAAATATTTATATCTTTTAATTGCCACAACCTTCTCTTTCTCCACACCCAGAAGGTATCTATATTGCTCTACTTCATATACAATTTTAACACAAAGCATTCTCAAGGCTATGAGTGGTGGTTTTCTTGGCTGAAATTCTAGTTCTGTTCAGTATTGCCATCATGAGCTCATTTACTTCACATGCACAACACTCCTTGTTCCATACGCACTATTTCCTGCTATTACATAAACTAGTTGAATTTTTTTTACTCCTTGAAAGTATATGTTGACTAATCAATTGTTCAATCACTCAATGGCTGCAGAATTAGAAGCTTTATACTTCTTGAATGCCATTAGCAGTGGAGATTGATATGGAAACTATAAACTACTCTGAGAAAATAACTAGAGAAGAACAAATAAAGAGCCAGAAGGCCTGGAAATAATGGCCATTGGAAAGGAATTTCATGCCAGGAAGGCTACAGAGTACAAAAGATAAGTCATTTCTATTATATTTCCTATTACACGATACAAACCAGAGACAAGCTAGTCTATTTTGAAGGTTCATACTATCTCCATTGACAGTTCACTGATCAACAAAGCCACTAAAAAAAGTGTTTTCAGAAACTGGAGTTCCAGTCTCTATCACAGACAAAAGAATTGAAGGAGGTGATTCCTTCCACAAATAACTAGCAGAACTAATTGGAGCTAAAAGTTTGCCAATGTAAAACACTTCTTTTCAGATTGTTTCTCCCAGACAGATCATCTTGCCCTAAAATATTATGTACAGTATCCAGAAGCAGGATAATGTAATCTATTATGATGTAGGACTGTGACAGCAAACCTATGGCATGTGCGCAGAGCCATCTTTCCAGGCATGCGAGCTGTCGCCCAACTCACTGGCAGCTGTGCATGCGCATGTCCCCCAGCTGGTGTTCGGGCCTCTGACATGCATGTGCACAATTCAGGGCACCCAGCTGTACTTTGGAGCTCTCCTGTGTATGCACATGCGTGGGAAAGTACTTGCGTGCAGTGCACACATGCATAGCTGGCATCCAGGTGTGTTCATTATGCACGCTAAAACCATGCGCATGTGCAGATGTGGTTGCATGCACAGGGGTGCGCATGAAAGCTGTGCAAATGTGCAGATGGTACATTGCATGCACAGTGCACAGCGGATAGCACACACGTGTGCAAAGCGCACAAAGGGCATACCTGTTCAACACTCGGTAAGTAAAAGGTTTGCTACCCTGATGTAGATGGTTAAGGGATTTGATTTCATGTCATATGGCCTTCCTTAATCTGACACTATCCAGATATATTGAACTACTATTACATCATCTGAGCATTGGTTAGGATGATGAAGTTGTAACCCAGCACCTCCAAAGGAATATTCAATTTTAAAATGCTAAGATTAGCAGGCAGCTGTTCCTTTGGATGTTGCAGATGCTATGATATTCACCATATTTTTTTCTGTGTAGTTTTAAATGTAAAGCAAACGGTGGATAACATTCTTTCTCTTTGACTCCTGTTTTCATTTCCAAAATAACAGTGCCATATGCCTATGGAAACACTGGATCTTTTTTCCCTCTTTACTACTAAAAGAAATGAATCACTCAAGCAGTTTATACATCAACAGTCATGAAAGATTAATCTATTTTAGGCATGTACTCATAAAACCTTTATAAAAGTGCATATCCCCCCTTTTCACATAAAAGCCCACTGTTTATATATGTCTGAGTAAAAACCATATGTGCCAACAAATATTTTACACACATAGACATATGGTCCTCAAATCTGAGTTTGTTTATTTGTTTATTTTACTCATCACCATGTATTCCTGAGAAACTGGCATTTGGAAAAATGAAATAAATGAAAATTGTTCAACAATTGAGCAAACATTTAGGAGGTGTTGGACACTCTTCATTAAGGTGTTTTAATAGTAGATGACTACCTATCAGGGATGCTGTAGTTACAGATTTCTGTACTGGACAATGAGATAACCTAAGTTCTTCTAAAGTTTTCTTCTAAAACTAAACTTCCATAATTCTAGGATCAATGTATTATTAAGGGTAATTAATACCCTGTGTAATCTTTGAGGCATTATGATATGTTCAACTTTGTTAAGTGTTCTCCAATAATCTCAAATATGCTACTAGATTAGGATTTCCCAGAGTGGTCAATATAGACCCTCCCCCCAAGAGTCAATGGGATTATCCACTGTTGTTGTTATTACTATGTTTGATACTATTAGTTAGAATAGTATTTATTAAATTATTTTCACATAGTAAATGATTTTTATTTATTCTCTTATTATTTGTAAAGTAATAACAAAAGTGCAATCCTCCAAAGATAAACATTCTTTAACAATATATATTTTTTATTTTTGTGTTTTGCTTTATTTTTGTCATTATTTAATAAAACATAAAACACATGTGTACCAACACATTGGTAATGTGTTACCAATAGAGAAGAATATTTGTAGCTCAGGGTTGAAATGAGGGGCCCTTGGTGCTCGCTGAGCTTGCTTGTTTTCTTGCAAACGTTTCATTACCCTAACTAGGTAACATCTTCAGTGCTTGTAAGGAACGATGTTTGCTGTCAGTCTTGCCTGTGTATGTGGCAAGACCCTACCCACATAGTTAGGCAAGACACCAGAATATAAACTGACAACGGACACCACTCCTTACTAGTACTGATGATATTACCTATTTAGGGTAATGAAATGCTTGCAATAAAACAAGCAAGCTCAGAGAACATCAAGGACCCCTCACATGTAGTATGTGTACTTTTTTAAAAAAAAAATGGGAGAAAAGTGCAACAAGGAAAGAAAAAAGAGTATATCACTTTAGGAGTAAATTGGTATAATTCCGTAATTATCTAATATAATTATTATTCAAGTATATATTTTTCCTATACTATTCTAGTTCTGATAAAAAGATGATAGCAATAATATAATAATCATGTTTTTAACCTACTGTATTTTGTAAAAATGAATCCCATATTTTATTATATTTTACAATATATAGTCTACATTTAAAGGCAAATCATTTATAGATGGCAATTGCAATTAGGTCTTCAATCCATTGTTGATCCATGAAACGGCCACATACTTATGCCTCCAATGCTGCAATATCAGTCTTTTTACCATAATGAGAATACATATACATTGTTAATTGTCAAATTTCATATGCTAGGTATATATTTCAAAATATTATTGCCTCAAAATGTTAGCTTTTGTCGCAATTATATTTATATAATACAGTACTTTCTTCAAAAACTAATTAAGTGTAAGACATTATAAAAGCATGGGATTTAAAGAAGTATTATCTCCAACAAAATACTGTTTTCTCCAGTCCTTTTCTATACAAAAAAAGTCCAATAAATTCTAAATGTTATTTTTTTATTGTATAAGTCATAATTTGAGGTCAGTTGACAGTCTTGCTATAGAAGATTTTAAAAATTCTCCATTGTTTAGCCAATATAGAAATTCTTTATTTCACTCCTTTCCATGGAGATAGCATCTGTACAGATAGCATCTGTATCTCAAATTTATTTATTAACTTTAAAAAATAATAATAGAGGTTTTTTAGTTTTAAAGATTTAACAGATTGTTCCAATATATCTTAGATGTCTCTGAAGATGAGAATATTGCTGATCCTTTAAATGTTGTTAATAAATGCATTAACTATAAATATTACCATTGGGTTACATGTTATAAATGATATTGGCCTTTTAAACAGTGCATGGTAAATATAGATCTTTATCATCAATTCATTGATCCAGAATCAATATCTCCGCTTCTATCCAATTTTTACAAATCACTATTTCTTTTTCAATTTTTATAGTTGGGTTTCTCCATAAAGTCAATTTAGCATCAGAACAAAGGTAAAAAAAATGTATGTATTCCAAATTGTCCAAATTGGAAAATTGACAGCAATTGTTAGCATTCAATATTTAATGCTTGACAATAGGTAAGTACAGTGATATAGCTCCAGATGCAGAAAACTAAATCGGCCCTCATTAAGTGTTAATTGCATTTTCTGTAAAAAAAAGTATTCTTGGAATCAAATAACTCCATAATAATTTTTTAAAATAAAAAATATTTTTTGAAATTATTTTCCAGAATATTTTGAACCTCCTCTCAGAAACTTCATGAAGGGGTTGATCAGTTGAAGAATTTGGGGCAGGGGTGGGTTCCACTTATCTTTACTACCGGTTTGCAGTGGGAGCGCATGCTTCTGCACATGCGCAGATCACCCATGATGATGTCGTGGTGGGTGGGGGGAGCCTCCCACCAGTTTTACTACCAGTTCTATAGAACTGGACCGAACCGGGAGCAACCCACCACTGATTTGGGGATTCTTATACCAGACAAAAAAGGGATCCTTCCTCTTGTTTAGTCCTTTGCTTCATTGTATTGCACATCCCAATTTAACTGTTAGTGCTTCATTATGATTGATTAATTTTAATTATGTTAATAATATTTTATTGTCTTCATTATATATTTAAATATGAATTTTGATATTTAAAACTCAGTTTTCAGAAAAGTATTCAGAAACTGCATAAATTTAATTTGAATCTGACAAAATGTAGTCTAGGCATTTTGCATATAAATATACAAATCAAATTTTTTAGGCATCCATAATGGTACAAGATGGCAGCTTCAGCTGTTCTAGCCCATTTTGATGGACATGTAAAAGCAATTACATAAAAGTTAATTAAACACATTATTTGTTCTTTAAAAACTGAAGTCTTTAAGAACTGAGGCTTTGGTCTGGAATCTCAGTTCCTGTTCTATTAAATAATTATTTCACAATCATTCATAGATATAATGTAGGAGTTATTTCTAATTTCAAATCTTGCCAAGCATGATCCCCAGTATGGTACCAATTAATTCTCAGTACCTTAATGTTTGCCAAGATCCATGTCCATAACTATGTCACACTATGTATGCATAAAATATTCAATTACCCTCTCTAATCTTCAATAGTGTTTCTGATTTTTTAATGTGATCCATAATGTGGAGTATGTATATGTTTTCTTCATAAAGGCATCTCCTTCAAAATATAGAAGCCTTCCAGTCTATTTAAAGTCTACCTCTTTAATTCAATTGTAAATAATTTTCCCTGAATTTGAATTATAGAGTTTCAAAGATATTATGGCATGAAGGTTTCTCCCTCTCATTTTTTTGGAAGGAGGCACAGTGTTATGAGAAAACTGTTAATTTGTGCTGTAAAGTAATTAACAAATGGCTTACTGAAATAGGTCAAATTCAGCACAGGTTTTCATTTACATAGGGTATAGTAATAGGAGAAAAGCCATATATCTTGAAACAGATGGTTAATGGATATGATTCTGAAATAAATGGAAGACAATTTTTGATATGATTGTGAGTAATTGGCCTTTAAATCCTTTAATATGAAATTTTAAACAAGTCAGGGATATACTCCTGATTTATTATTTTTATTTTGATTAGTCAGTCTGATGGATGGGACTGTAACTCACATAATGTTGGAAATAAACACTTAAGCCTCTCATCAGTAGGTTCACCTAAGCATGACAAGAGACCTCAGTGAAAAATCTTTTAAATAACATACACTTATTTGGGGCCACATGGCCAAAATCTCAAACTGCAGATCACTTATATACAACAACAGTGCTTTCTTTCAGCAAGTCAAAACTCATGCTTCCACTTCAATGATCAATCAAAGATTGTGAAGAATTGCATGTTAGTTTATTTTTGATTAAATGAATCAGACTTTTTATATACAACAAATGTATATTTATTTATTTATTTATTTATTTTCCAATTTATATACCGCCCTTCTCCCTGAGGACTCAGGGCAATGTACAGCCGAATAAAAACATAAATTACAAACATTAAAATAGTATTAAAAGAATATATATAAATTTGGCTCCGTAATTTAAGAACAATAACAAACCCATTTAAAACATTTAAAAAATTAAGAAAAAAAAGTTAAGCCAGCCCGGCTTGCTGAAAAAATAAGGTTTTAAGGGCACGGTGGAATGCACCGAGGTCTTGGATTCTCCTTATCTCTGGGGGCAGTTGGTTTCAGAGGGTAGGTGCCCCCACAGAGAAGGCCCTCCCCCTGGGAGTCACCAGCCTACATTGTTTGGCTGATGGCACCCCGAGGAGGCCCTCTCTGTGGGAGCGCACAGGTCGATGGGAGGCCAACGGTAGCAGCAGGCGGTCTCGAAGATATCTAGGTCCTATGCCATGGAGCGCTTTAAAGGTGATAACCAACACCTTGAAGCGTACCCGGAAGACCACTGGGAGCCAGTGCAGCTCACGCAGGAGAGGTGTTATATGGGAGTGCCATGCAGCTCCCGTAACTACCCGCGTGGCCGCATTCTGAACCAGTTGGAGCCTCCAGGTGCCCCTCAAGGGGAGCCCCATGTAGAGAGCGTTGCAGTAGTCCACGCGAGAGGTGACGAGGGCATGAGTGACTGTGCGCAGGACATCCCGATCAAGAAAGAGCCGCAACTGGCGTATCAGGCGGACCTGACAAAAAGTCCCCCTGGCCACAGCCGTCAGATGTTCCTTCAAGGACAGCTGCGTATCCAGAAGGAACCCAGATTGCGGGCCCTCTCCGAGGGGCCAAAGACTCGCCCCCAATAGTCAGAGATGGAGTCATCTGACTATATCGGGATGCTGGGAACCACAGCCACTCAGTCTTGGAAGGGTTGAGTTTGAGCCGGTTTCTCCCCATCCAGATCCGCACAGCCTCCAGGCACCGGGACATTACTTCAAGGGCATCGTTGGGGTGGCCAGGGGTGGAGATGTACAGCTGGGTGTCATCAGCGTACTGGTGGTACTTCACCCCAAAACCACGGATGATCTCGCCCAGCGGCTTCACATAAATGTTGAACAGAAGGTGCGAGAGGACCGACCCCTGAGGCACTCCACATATGAGAGGCCTCGAGGTCGACCTCTGCCCCCCCTGCCAACACGAACTGTGACCGGTCGGAGAGAAAGGAGGAGAACCACCGTAGCACAGTGCCCCCCATCCCCAACTCTTCCAACCAGTGCAGCATGATACCATGGTCGATGGTATCAAAAGCTGCTGAGAGGTCTAACAGGGCCAGAACAGAGGAGCAACCTCTGTCCTGAGCCCTTCAGAGATCATCTACCAACATGACCAATGCCATTTCCATGCTGTGCCCAGGCCTGAAACCCCACTGGAACGGATCTAGATAAGACGTTTCCTCCAGGTACTGCGGAAATATAAAAATACAGTGTCAGAAAGTTCTGATATACCTTTGAGAACTTTAGTTGATAGCAGCAAATGGTTTCATCCTGTCCAAAATTCAGTGGTACAAATATTGAAATGGTTCTACATCATTCTGAAGTTGGAAAACAAGAAACAATAGTTTGATTTTAATATAAATAATACAGTTTAGAAAACATTTTTAAATGTAAATGTACAAATCAGTAAAATGAAAATACCAGTCCTATCCATATATATGATATGTCCAATTTATATCACTTACTCCAGAAGTGGTATTCAGCAGGTTCTGACCAGTTCTGGAGAACCAGTAGCGGAAATTTTGAGTAGTTCGGAGAACTGGTAAATACCACCTCTGATTGGCCCTGCCCCCATCTATTCTCTGCCTCCCGGGTCCCAGCTGATCAGGAGGAAATGGGGATTTTGCAGTAACCTTTCCCTGAAGTGGGGAGGGAATGGAGATTTTATAGTATCCTTCCCCTGCCACACCCATCAACCCACACCCACCAAGCCATGCCATGCCATGCCACACCCACCAAACCACACTCACAGAACTGGGAGGGGAAGGAAGGAAGGAAGGAAGGAAGGAAGGAAGGAAGGAAGGAAGGAAGGAAGGAAGGAAGGCTGGCTGTATAATATGTCAAAATATATGCACTGGGAATGTCACTTCAAAGTTCATGTGCAATAATTCATACTTTGCATGGTATGATTTATATTTTTATTTATTACTTATTTAAAAAGGTACAAACATTATTCCTAAATCGGAGGGATAAACTGGAGTGGGAAAAGGCACTCATAATGAGAAACAAACAATGAAATATAAAGAAGCAGAAATTAAATATATATATAATGAAAAGTCTTACGCAATCAAGAATTAATTAGTTATTATAACAAAGTTCAAAAACTACAATCAAGTGAATCAGATATAGCAAATCAATAAGAAATGTATTCCATTAATTTCAGTAATCTCTATGATCATAATCAGATGATTTGCTATTCAATGCAAATTAATAATACTAAATATATATCTAGTATTTCTTTACATATGATAAATATGTTATTTTTAAAACAGCTTTTATTAAGCTATCTACATTAATTGATTCTATTTTCTATTGTCAATTTATCTTAGATTGAAGTTTTATGTACTGGTTCTTATTTATAGGATATTGTAAACATATGCAACATTACATTATTTACATTACTATGTGTATCAAATAAAAAAGTGAAAGAAAAGAACAGAAAAAAAGTGTTACAGCCAAATAAGTTTTTCTCAGCAAGTCAGCAAGAATTCAGCCTGATAAATGGAGAAAGAAAATAATACTTTTAACTCCTTTGGTCTAGATTTCTTCTCATGCTCTGCTTTAACCACTATTCACTTCAGTAGCTCTTCTGAAATACAGAAAATTGAAAATGAAGTGATCTACAGCCAGTTAAAATTTCTTTTATTTCAACTTCTGTTATTAACTTTTCATCTAATTAATAATATGATGGCTTTAATTAGCAATCCAATACACTTCTTTGGAACAACAAGCACGGGATTTTTGTCTGTCTTCAGCAAATAAACAAAAATAGTGGCATTTGCTCAGAGGCGGGATTCACTTACCTTCCCTATCGGTTCGCAAATGTGAGTGTGTGCGCAGTAATTGCACATTACGTCCAGGCAGAAGGGCAGAGCCTCCCGTAGTCGCTGCTACTGGTTTGCACAATCCGGACAGAATCGGCTGAATCCCACCACTGCATTTGCTGTATCAGAATTGCTATGCTCTCCTTATGGCTCAGAAAAGGATTATATAAATTCAGGTTCTGTCACTCTAAATTCAATGATTATTAAACTCTCGTTGATTACAGGACCTTCAGATAATAACATAATAATAAGAAAAAAGAAAGAGTGAATCTTGAAATTCCTTTTAAACATTAGATTATACTAACTTTATTCATAAAATTATATACTGGACCATGTTTTAGTAACAAGATACCAGTAGATTTTAATCGAGCTTGGGTGTCAGCATGTTTTTCCAAGTACCTAGTTATGTGACTACTTTAGATTTTGTTACATTTTTTTTAATTCCCAAAGAATATGAGAATTATTCGTAAAACAACTTTGGACACATTATGCAAAGACCTTCCTTTTTGGGAGTCAAAAACAATTTGATGGCACTAATCAGTCAATCAAATAAACATATTTTACATCTGTCCTCACGTATTGTTACTCCAATGTGATATAAATATATCATCACTTGCCAGCAATTTCTCTCTGGATTCTATGTTGAACAAACAGAACAGACTTTGTGCAAAAGAATTAATAGACACAAGTTCGACGTAAAAACTCGAAACAAGGACAAGTACAGATTTCAACATTCCTATTTTAGAGCAATGAAACTACACCAACATCATAGAGTGAGAAATTTTCACATATATCAAAAATGTTTCAGACTGTCTCAGAATGTCTTAACATATACAATCGCGTTTAACACATTAAAATTGCTAATTGTAACCTGCAATTAAATAATCACACTTACTTCCCCCTCCAACCCTTGCTTTCAAGTTCTACATCAATATAACCACTTCAAACATCTAATGAACTGAGCTTCAGCTCATGAAAGCATATCCCTTTTAATAAAATTGGTTTAAAAATATGCTACAGACTGCTTTGGATAGTCTGAATGATTATATTAGGAAAAGTAAAGAGGCTATACTTATGGAATTTATAAGTACATGCTCCTAAAGAGAGCAAAAACTAAATTGGAATACAAGAGGAATGTAATTCAAAGTCAGACTAACATCCAGAAAAGCAAATTACCCTATTAGGTTAATCCTTGACCATGACTAACACTGTGTATAATTTAGGGACTCCTTATGCAGTATTGTGCCTATCCAGAATTAGCACTATCCTGCTGTATTCCCACAACATTGTCAGGCATCTGAAGCATTCTTTCAGCATTTCCTGCAGGTGAATTAATTTCTGTCTCAGAAATACAGACTGGACATTTCTTCAGGATTAACATTGAGGTGTCAGGCATTAGTTGCATTTGATTGGTGGAATTCTTGTGTATATCTGCTCTTGTTTCTTTAAGCTGCTTTCTCTCACTTCTTCCCCTCATGCTGTCAAGGTACCATGACCACTTATGGTTATCCCCTGCCTCAGTGGTGGGATTCAAATAATTTAACAACCGGTTCTCTGCTCTGACTGGCTGGGGGAGCGTGGCTGCAGGGGCGTTATGTGACTGGGTGAGCATGGCCAACTCACTGTCACTCACATAAAAGGGCGCCTCGCCTGGCCCCTCTTCTCCAAGCTCTCCAACCTCACTCTGTGTGGGAGGGGGGAGGCAGTGGCGGAGGTGGCTTCTGAGCAGCATGAGCAGTGGCTGTTGGCCACACGGCTCTTTGCAGGTGGCCAGCCAGGCAAGGAAGTGCATAGCCTTGGCTCTTCACTTAGGGAAGCAAGGGGGAGTGGCGTGACAGTGGCTTCCCTGCTCAGCCCCGACAAGCGATGCATGGTGCCCACACCAGCATCCCAAGAGAAGCAGAGAAGATCGCTGCTTGCAAGCAGACAAGCAGAGGTAGAAAGTGACTGCCATGCTGTTAGAAAAATGAGAGGCTCTGTTGTCCCGCAGAGCCTGCCACTGCTTGAAGGGGGGGCAAGAATGGCAAGACTCAGGGAGTAGGTCAGGTGGAGCTGGCTGACTGGGAAGGGGGAATCATGCTGCTCAGAAGCTGTCCACGCTGCTGCCAGAAGTTTGGGTGCCTCAGCTGAAGCAAGGATCGCTCCCTCCCCCCCCCCCCCCCCCCCCCCCCCCCCCCCCCCCCCCCCTCTCTCTCTCTCTCTCTTTCTCTCTCTCTCTCTCTCTCTCTCTCACACACACACACACACACACACACACAGGTTGGAGAGCTCTCTTGGCCTCTCTCTCCAAACGCCTCATGTGCACAGCCCATTTGAGAAAAGGCCACGCACGGCTGGGTGTGCTTCCCAGCAGGAGGAGGCATGGTACAATGTAGCCACCACTGCTACTGCTTATTTAGTGGCGGTGGTCCTGGCTAAAACAGGTGGCTTCAGGTTTTTTTCCCATGGTGATTACGCCACTTGCCCCACCCACCATCAACCAGATGCCCTAGCTTCCCGCAAGCATTGCTTTGCCTACCTGATTTCCAGTTCTGTGGCGTTTTTTGCTATTGTGCAGGAAAAGAAAAGTTTGTGGGACTAAAAAAAAAATCAATATATTCTAACTTTGCAAGATTTTTTTTCTTTTGCGAGAAGTTGAAATTGATTGATTGCACTTTATTTTTAGTCCCACAAACTTTTCTTTTCCTGCACATGATTGCTAGAAATGAGACGGAGAAATGCGATGGAGCTGGAAATCAGGTAGGCCATAAATGCTTGGGGGAAGCGAGGGCATCTGGCCGGTGCCGGCAAACTGTTCTGCCCACAAAAATCTCATCTTTGACCACTGACATCAAAAAGCAGAGCAAGAGTTGCCGGGAAGAAACCAGTAGGCCCGGGAGTCTGGAATATCATTCCTCCCCCTGCCCCATCTTTCCCCACCTGCCACACTCCCAAATTACAGTGAAAGTGAGGGGCAGGAAGCCCTGCCATGCCTGGCGAGGGGGGAGAAGAGGCGGCAAGAGGAGCTCCGTCTCACTCCATGCAACCCAATGAAATGCAGTGGCAGCCTGGCTGCTTCCCTGCCCTGCCCTCTCTGGCATTGGAAACCAAGTGTCAGCCACACATGCCCAGTTGCCCATGCAGAGATCATGCTAGGCTGCAGCAAAGGCAGGCAAGCGGGTTGGACTGTGTGGAAGTCTCATAAGAGAGGAAGACTCACCAGGCAGAGATCAGATGGGCTGTGGGGGCCGCGGTCGAGGCAAGCGACGGAACCAGAGAACAGCAGCAGCTATGCCACAAGCGTGACTGTAGGCATCGGTCAAGGTGGGTGGGGCAAGATAAGGAGTGAGGGGCGGGGCAGGGTCAGCCATCAATTTAACAACCAGTTCGGCTGAAGTAGTGCAAACCGGTTGAATTTCACCACTGCCCTGCCTGATAAGTAATGTCATGTACTTGTTGCCATGATATTATGCTTTTATACTGAGTGACTATTCACTTTCTGCTGTAAAAACAAGACAAGGCCATAATGTGGGCATTGGTTAGAAATTAATTTTGATGCTTCACTAGTGTTTTGCTAGAAGGAACAGTAATTGCAACTTGGTGAAAATGTAGAAACAAGAAAATTTGCCTTTGTCATTTTTAAAATAAATATTATGCCCCGGGGTGAAATGTAAAATCTGTTACTACCGGTTCTGTGGGAGTGGCTTGGTTGGGGGGGGTAATGTGACTGGGTGGGCGTGGTCAACTTTTAAAAAAAAAAACTTTTCAAAGCATTTTTTCTAATGCTTTGAAAAGCCTCTCTGCCGATCAGGAATTCAGCTGGGATCATCAGAGAGACTCTTTTAAAAATGCCTCTCTGCCGATCAGAGAACTCAGCTGGGATCGTCAGAGATCTTTCAAAGCATTTTTTTTACCACCTCTTCGGCCAAGAGGTTGCAGAAAATTTTTTGAAAAGCCTCTGATGATCCCAGCTGAGCCGCGCGATCATCAGAGGCTTTTTTTTTTAACTTTTAAAAGCATTTTTTCATCGGAAGAGCTTTTAAAAGTAAAAAAAAAAGCCTCTGATGATCGTGTGGCTCAGCTGGGCATGGTGGTGGTGGTGGGGGTGCAGGGATTTTTGCTACCGGTTCTCCGAACCATCCGCTGCCATCACTACTGGATTGGGCGATCCAGTCCGAACCGGGAGCATTTCACCCCTGTTATGCCCTCTTATCAAGAAGCCATCCCTATACCAGACTGTTCTGGACTGTTTTTCCAGTTTTTAAAGTTCTGTTTTTGGGAAACATTCTAGAAAAAGCAGTTGCATAGAACCATACACATACATCAAAGGAAGAAGTGCATTATATGAATCCTTTTCGGTCAGGATTCATGCATGGGCATGGATCTGAGATAGCATGAGCTTACTTTTGGAAAATCCCTGGCAGGAATGAGGGAGGTACAAGGCTTTCTTGACCTTTTAATGGCTTTTGATATTGCATCACACATGGTAACCTTTTTGACTAACTTCAGGGGTTGGAAGAAGGTGGCATTTGTTGTGCTAATTCTTCTCCTTCCTCCAGTTCTAGTCAATATTGATGGGAGGAAAGAGGTCTGGCCAATGGACCTTGCTTTTTGTTGCAGGGCTCATTACTCTCTCCTCTTCAGTTTAACATTTACATTAAACCACCTGGTGAGATCATCCAATGGTTCATGGTGAGATATCGCCATGAGTGATGCCATGGGGGTTAGTGCCAGAAGACTGTGGGGATCTGAATAACAGGCTTCAGCTCAACCATAGACCAAGTGGTTCTGGCCTTTAGAATACTTTGGTTCTGGACAATTCCCATCTCTAGTTGTGGATGAGGTTGCCCTACTCCAGATATAGCTGGTGTGGGAAGCCTTTTGGGAATTTGAAAATCTCCTCCACTTATGACTCCTGCCCAAAGAGCAGGTGGCTGCTATGGCCAATAGAACTTGGCAAATATTAATTACCAAAATCATTGCCAATCCCTGAATAACTCCCCTTTTGCTTAATTATTTAATGTAAAAGTCAATGTCACAATAGCTTTAATTACTAAAACATCAATATCTATATCAGCTATAGCTAATCTTTCTATATCTCTCAATCTACTGTTTTAGTAACATTCCATCACTTTCAGGTTGTCTTGTCCTGTTCATGTGTGATTTGTTCTAGTGGTCCACTTACCATCAGATTGTTTGGTTCCCTAACATCTGATGTGGGCCTTCTAGTCATA